GGCTTATTATCTAAATGAGGATGGGGGCGAGGGGGAGCACGGGGGAGCCTCCTGTGGTGTCAGCATCGAGTCAGCAGCCACTGCGTGTTAGTGACAAAAAGAGAGTCTGGCTAGGAAGGAGACAATCAGAGATGAGCGGGCAGAGGTGAGGCCTCAGCCGCTATTGTGTGCTGGTCTGGACGCCTGGAATTTGAGGGTCTTCTTGAGTTCTCGCGGCTCTCAGCCCTCTCCCCCCCCCCAAAAAAAACACACACACAAGCTCATCCTGCCCTGGACTGCCAGATCTTTCCTCCACTTTGGGGGGTGAAGGGAGAGCCCAGAGAAGCCAGAGTCTGAGAATAAAAGGTCGCTACACCATGCAGATATCTCTAATGAGTCATTAAAATGCAAAGACAAACCAAGTAGAGTTCAGCTCAAATAGAGAATATTTTCAGAACATGCCCTCTCCCCTGCCCTCCCCCAAAGTAGTGTTCTAAGGGGGTTAAAGAGAGCAAGAAGATTTCTATATTCAATATTCGCCAGGGATATTATGTCCTTACACCCGTGTGCCCTGAACTAAGGCAACTGGCCTTGGAGCTGACTTGGGCTGTTTTAGTCAAGCCAGGTACACACAGGTGGCCCTTCGTACCCTCAGGTTCTGTATCTAAGGATGCCGTCGAGCATGGGTAAAAATACGAGCTATGTAGTTAGGGTAATGGTGGCTGCATCTGTCCTGAGCATGGACATTCTCTAAACAACAGAGTATAAGGACTGTGTGCACAGCGTTTAAGTGTGCGGGAAGATTGTGTAAGTTATGTACAAATACCACACCATTTTAAAATAAAGGAACGTGGCTTGAGCATCTTCTGATTTTGTGTGCAAGGGGGTCCTGAAACAAACCCCTCCCCAAGGGATGGTTTGTATGCATATCTCCTTTCTAATTTGTCCAGACAGGCCACCTTTTCTTATTTCCTGACCCAGAAGGAACCCCTTTGGATAATCTGATAAAATTACTGTATGAGCCAGCAGCCTAGTTGCTTGCAAACAGCCAGACCAAGCCGCCTTTTAATCAGACCCCCGGAGTAGCAGAGGGTGTAGGAAGGAAGGAGTCCCAGTGCAGTTAGTCTCAGCAGGAAGGTTTCTTTGGTCTGGAGCGTGTCCCCTCGCTGAAGTTTGTGTACCGCGAATCTGTAGCTGGAGATCTGGTGTGCTTCCCTGAGGGTCCTGTGACTGAGAAAAGCCAGGAGGAAGATAAGAGGTTATTCCTTCCCTCGGTCACAGATCACCTGGTTCTCCTAGCTCTCACATCCAAGCCCTGAGCTGGTCTCAAGCCCCTAGACTATGTTAATTATGTCATGGAGACCAGCCTTGTCTTAAAAAGTGACCAGTTCCTAAATTTGCAGTCACCCAGCTGACCCCCACCAGAGTCAGGTCACCCAGCCATCTTCAGGAATCTATTAAGTTAGGCCAGGCCCAGGCCTCCCATCCCAGGACCCCAAGGGACTGTGGGCAGCTTTGTTCATTCTGCAAGAGTCACTGAGTTCTTGACCTGTGCCAGGCTCAGTCGGGCACAGGGCTATAGCCTTGTACCAGTCATACATAGCTTCTTCAACAAATGCCCACCACCCTGATGGGCAGACAGGAAACAAAGCTAACACGTACCCCTCTGAGTGGGAGTGTGGTGACAGGCAAAAGGCACTCATCTTGGAATGCATGAATGAAAGGTTGAATGGATGAGTGAAGTAGAGTATGTTGTGCTACCTTGACCTAAGGGATAAAAGAACGCTGCCCAGAGGTGGTGATATGTGACCTGAAGGATGAATACATTTCGCCATGTGAAGCGGGTTGTGCAAATGGCCTGGGGTGGGAAGAATATGATGTGGTGGCAGAACCAAGAAAGATCTAATCGATTGGCTTAGGTCATGGAGGTCATTGTCGGGTATGTGGAAGAGAGAAGTTTGGTGACGTACACAGGGCTAGTTGTAAAGAACATTGCCATTTAGGTCAAAGAATTTAGAAATGGGACTTTTAAGCAAGCAAGAGATGTTGGTATTTTCAGGTGCTGAGTACAATCCAGTAAGAATATTTCAGTAATACCCTTATCTCTGTTGCCTGGCGATGATGGAAAAGTGTGATGCCTTATGAATTCTCAGTCCTAATCACAGAAGTTGAATGTGAATAATGATTATGGCCATGGAGGAGCATTCTGAAAGTGTCCCTGTGAGGTCAGGGTATGGCGTTGTTGAGAAGGAAAAGAAGGCAAAGTCCCCTTCTATATCTGCTAGCCCTGATGGGGTCTAATGCTTAGGAACCCCTTCCGGGGAGGACCCATGAGGGACCAGGGAAGACACTTTGAAAGTGAGAATGAAAACTAGTAACAAGTATCTGGGAGAGAAAGATCCAACCCAGGCGATCCAGGTAGAAGGCACAAGGTCATGGAAGAAAACTCATGGGAGTTAGCTGGTCCCCTCCGAAAGGACTTGCTGATTCACTGGCCACCAGACTTTCACCATCTCTGAGACTAAGGTTCCCTGGGCCCAGCACCTAGCCACCCAGCACGACGCTTCTCAGTCCTGACAGAAGCAGCTGAGAAGCATGTTTCCCATGAACTGCCAGAGGCGGGAAAGCTGGGGCATCCAATGTGCAAACAGGAAACCCAGACGGGGCAACTGAGTGGAAACAGTACCTTTACATCATCCTGAAAGACGTCTCACTCTAGAAAACTCCACTGGGGCAACCCTATTTCGTTGAGGTCCCTTCTCCCCCAGCAAAGCCAACCAGCTCACCAAGCAGAATGTGGCAGCTGCGCTGGGTAGAATCGGTAAAGTTGGCCCATCACCTGGCCTGTGTGCAAGGGCTCCTGGGAGAATCCACAAAGGAAGCCCCCTGCTTGGCTGCAGGATGTGACCTGCCAGACAGCCGAGCTAATCTCTTATTCCTGTAGTTCTGGGGTGTTTCTGTGTCCCCCTCACAGCACTTGCTGAGAAGGTGGAATTTCTTAAGAAAGCTCCAATGCCACCTCCCCCCATCTAGGCCAAGGATGTTGTGGAGATAAAGTGCAGAGGGCAGCAGGCCCTGATGGTGAGGCCTGCACTAGTGATAGGTCTGAATGTTTACAAATCAAGGCAGCCAACAAACTTACATGAAGTATGTTTTCTTGTTTTCGCAAATAGACCTGCAAAGTGATCTAGAAAGTCAGATTGAAATTTAGATTCTCAGACCCTCACAGAGCTAGGTTATAACATGGCAATGGGGGGGGGGGACCTCCTTCCTTTCTCCTCCCACTTCTTCCACCAACCAACACCGAGACGGGCTGCTGGCAGGCCCATGGACATCTAGGCCTGAACACCTAAGTTCCGAACAAATGCTCTTGGGGTGCATGCACTTGAAGCATGCTGTATTCCCGGGAGAACAGATCTGTGAAGGAGTCCCCAGAGGCATGGAAGTGGGCTCAGGGGCCCTATAAACGGAGAATCTGGAGTCTCAGATAACCAGAGAGTAGTCTTGGGGAAAGTGGGCTCCAGGCGGCACGCTCTGTCCCACACTTTCCCACACCTTAGCGATGGTGACCGCTGGAGGAGGCCCAGGCGGGTCCCTTCTGCCCACAGCTATGCCTGATACTGTGGCAGAGAAGCCAGGACCACACCCACTGTGTCGTCCCCTCCAGAGACTGGTCTGAACGCTTAAAGAAAGCCATCTACTATGCTGCTAAACACACCATTTCCTTTCCAAGACCCAGCTTTCCACCACCTCCTTTCCTCCTTCACCTAGATCTGCCCTGCACAGGAATCTGGGGACCCCTTCTCCTTCCCATCACCCCAAAGCCAAATCTCCCAGGCCTTTGCAAGGAGCACCTTCTTCCCTCCTCCCTTTCACCTGACGCCCAGGCAGATGCAAGCTCCAGCTCCCCCTTTGCAAATTCAGCAAGGGTTTCCCCACTCCAACCTGGGCATTCAGGGACCGGCCAGGTCAGTGCTGATGGCGTGAGGTCCCCCTACTGAGAAAACCACGCCTCACCCGTCAATGACACTGCAAACCAACTCTGAAGTTCAGAGCCAAGTGTGAGGATGTACAGAAAGGTGTGTGTTTTTTCTTGTCATTTGCGACTCTAATGATGGACTCACGTTGCCCGCTCTTCCCTTTCTCTTACACCTTACCTACCTACTAAAGGAGGAGTTCTTGCTTGGTAAGTGGATATAATCCGCAAAGACATGAGAGAATTTATTAGAAGCCACTCGAGAGCCTTAGCTACCTTCTCCAGGGGGAAAAGGACACACAAGATACCTGTAGAGAGCTTTTTTTTTTGCCTTTGTTTTCAGTCAGACTATTTGACGTCCATTTTTTATTTATTTGTTTATTTTTGGCCCTCCTTTCTTTTCCCCTTTTGTTAAAAATGACTAAAATGTCCTTTTGTGACCTTGACTTTATATTATATATATATATATAAACGCTCATCTTTATTTCATTTCTGTTCCCCATGTGACATTTGTCTCTACTTAAGCAACTTTTTCTTTAAAAAAAAAAAAAAAGTAGTCTAATTCATTGAGGATTTGGTTGACGTTGAAAATTTTGGCTTTATCTCCTTTTTCGAGTTTCAAGATATAATTTTTCCAGGCCCATAGCCCTGTTTTCTTTTTGCCCTTCTTTTATTTTACTTATTGTTTTAGGTTAAGGGTGTTTATAACCCCCCTTTCTATTAAGTTGTCTTTTTGTTTGAGTTAATTCATTAGAAATTAAATTTTGTATAATTTTCTTTTTCTTTTGTTTAATCTGGATCGCATGCTTTTTCTCTGCATGATACCTAAATTTTCCAGTTATCCTAGAAGGGGGTAAAACAATCTCCTTTCTGTGGTATTCTTTCAGGAATTTGTGCTTTTGTTTTTTGGCGTCTCTTCTCTCCTCTCCTCTCTCTCTCTTTCCTTTCGTTACAGTGCATCATGACGGTAAACATTTCTTGGTTATTTAGACGCAGTCCACAGACCCCGCAATCAGCAGTGTCCAACGGGTGTTTTTGCTTTCAGATCACTGGGTCGGGGTCTGCTGACCTCTTTACCAAAACAGCCAGCCCGCTTGCCACCTCTCGAGGACGCTCCCAGGAGTATGACTCAGGCAACGACACTTCCTCGCCACCCTCCACGCAAATCAGCTCAGCCAGGTCGCGGGGTCAGGAGAAGGGGAGCCCCACTGGGGGCCTAAGCAAGAGCCGGGAACTCCACAGTGGCAACACCTCTGATTCAGGGAACTCCTTCACCACCTCTTCACCCCAGAACAAGGGGGCCGCTTTGGAGAATCTCTCCCCCACCAGCAGGGGCAGAGAGTCAAGGTCAGTGAATCTGGTGGGAGGAGAGTCCGCCTTAGCCCCACCCTCTCAGTCTCTCATCTTAACCACATGGCCACATCCATGATTCTTTTATTTGCAAGGAAGTGAACACACAATTTGAATGGCATAATTTTGGGGAATGAAATCCAGAGATAACAGCTTCAGGTATAGCTGGATCCAGGAGCGCAACAATATATCACTGGGAATTTTCAATGCATTGGGTATTTCCCATTACATCTTTTCAGCTCTGCTCTCCTCTCTATTGATTTTATTCTCAAGCAAAGGTCTTTCCAAAGCATTGGCAAATATGCCATTCACTGAACAGACTATCAGCTTAGTCAGCCAACAGAGGGAGAATGCCTCTTTTCTCAAAACTTCAGCAAAATGGGGTTCAGGTGCTCACGTCAGGATTAGAGACTCAAATCTTCCCATACACACTAAACTTGGGTTCTCTGAAGGAACAGCCAGGTACTGATATCAGGAGGAGGAATGGAGATTGTACAGGCAAGAGCAGATGTTGATTTTTTTTTAAAGATTTATTTATTTATACATACAGAGCTGGGGTACAGACCAGAGGTGCAGGGCGGCGAGAGGATTCACCAGAGACAGAGTGGGGAGCAGAATAGGCAAAATGACGAAGCACACTGCTGAGGGGAGCAGCGGGTGGGTCAGGAGAGGTCTGCCGCAACATGTGGGTCACCTCCGGGGCAGGCGGGAATCGAACTCATGCTGCAATGGCTTTAGCTTCTCAGTGCTGTGCTTTAACCTGCTGCGCCACCAGGGAGGGCCCAAGCAGATGCTGATTTTACCAACAATGTCAAAACTACCAATATGGGTGGGGCCCACTTACTAGATGTCGAACTCAGGGGAAAGTTAGAAATTCCTGTTTCAGGAGAAAGGCTGCCATTATACTCACGTCAAATCACTGTCACTTAACTTTATCCCCAAAGCATTGTGATTTTATGTCCACACAGAAATTACACATAGGTGATTATGGCATCTTTATCCGTAATTGCCAAAACTTAAAAGCCATCAAGATGCCCTTCAGTAGGTGAGCATAGAAATAAACTGTGGTCCATCCAGGCAGCAGACAGTTGTTTGGCAAGTCAGGAAAAGACATGGTAGAACCTTAAAGCCCTAATCCTAAATGAAAGAAGATAACTGGAAAATGTTACATAGTAAATAATTCTAACTTTATGATGTTCTAAAAAAGATAAAACTATGATGACAGTAAAAAGATGATCAATGGTGGCCCTCCCTGGTGGTGCAGTGGGTTAAAGCACGGCACTGAGAAGCTAAAGCCACTTCCGCATGAGTTCGATTCCCGCCTGACCCGGAGGTGACTCACATGGCGCAGCAGACCTCTCCTGACCCGCCCACTGCTCCCCTCCGCAGTGTACTTCATCCTTCTGCCTGTTCTGCTCCCCACTCTGTCTCTGGTGAAGCCTCTCACCACCCCTGAGCCTCTGCCTGTACCCCAGTTCTGTATATACAAATAAATAATCTTTAAAAAAAAAAAAAAAGATGACCAATGGTTATCAGGGCTAGAGAGCAGGTTTGTAGGAAAGTGAAAACTAGTCTGTGTGATGCTACAATGGTGGGTACATACACATTTGTCAAAACCCACTGGGTCCACAAGATAAGCTCTCATGTAAACTATGGACTTTAGGTGTTAATGGTGATCAGCATACGTGATCAGCCCAATAAAATATAAACATGTCTACCATTGACTGTTGAACAAGGCAGGGGTTGAGCCACTGACCCCTGCACCACTGAAAACTGGCATAAACATTTTGACTTCCAGACCCTCCCTGGTGGCGTAATGGGTTAAAGTGCAGCACTGTGAAACTATCCGTAGCCACTGCAACATGAGTTCCATCCCTGGCTAGGGAGTGCCCCGCATGGTGCTGTGCACCTCTCCTGGCTCCCCGCTGCTCCCCTCAGCAGTGGATTTCAATGATCCACCTGTTCTGCTCCCTATTCTGTCTCTGGTGAATCCTCTCACCCGCCACACCTCTGGCCTAAACAAATACATCTTTAAAAAAAGAATTTTGACTTCCCCCAAACCTTAATTACCACTCTTCCTTGGTCTTAAAACTCCACCCCTGCTGTACAGATACCAAACTTTTCAGGTGCCCGGTTCCTTATAATAGCCCCTCCACATCCACAATTTCCATATCCACAGATCAGTCCACCAACATCCACAACTGGTTGAAGCCATAAGCACAGAACCGGTGGATATGGAAGGAAGTATAGGACTGAAAATCTGTATATATGTGAATCCAGGCAGTTGAAATCTGCATGGTTTAGGTGCATTGTATTTATATATATAAATATATATAATGCATACATAGGTACATTGTATGAGTGTAATATAAACATTATAATTTATATACAAGCAGACTATATGTGTATATGTACCAATTTTATATATACAGATATAGTACACATAAAATATCATGTCTATAACATATATGTATATATATGTATGCGTGTATATATACATATATATGTGTATACACACACACACACACATATATCCCACTGTGTAGTTTTAGGTAGAAAGAGATCAAACTATCCATTGAGAATTCTCAACTTCTTATTCATCTTAACAAACCTGCTACAGGTGGTTTTTCTTACAGAAAACCCTTCCAGAAAGTTGGGTGGTGAGCCAGTTGCAAGTCTGCACTTCACCATGCTCTTATCTTCCTCATCTTCCTCAAGAAATCACAGCAGAATGCTAATCACTGAGGAGGTCACAATAAAAACTCCTAAAATTCACTGGTCACTTATTCTGTCTATTCAGTCAGTGACTCATCCCTCAACTTGCTCTTGGGCATTTCCAATGCCAGACCCTGTACTTGGTGCTGGAGACATAAGAAACGTCACTGTCCTTCTCCTAGGCATGTGTATGCAAGGGGGTGGATGCAGAGACAGGGAAGATTTGCAGGTACACTCTGCCATGCTGTCAGTGGGGGGGGTTCCCCTTCTTCTTGCAGTGGAAGTCTTTCTGTTCAAGCAGTCAAGGTTTTAATACCATAGCAAAAACCTTAGCATTGAAGCAGTTAACGGCTTCTTCAAGGACAGAGTGCCCTTTGTCCCTAACACATAGCTCCAGTGCTGGACAAATAGCTTGGCATTCACATGTAGACCTGGCTTCTGATTTGCCTGCCCCAGGACATCCTTGGCCTCTGTTAATGCCCAAGCTTGGCTGGGAGCCAAGGTTGGGTCAGAGCAAATGTCAATGTCACCAAGAACAGCAGTGAAAGTTCCCAGATGAGAGAGGACACGTGACTGCTGATATACTTCAGCGTTCTATGCAGGAGAACCTGAGAGGAGCAGTGACAGCAGGAAAGGCTATAATATTTACTGACACTGACTGTATGCCAGGTACTTAACTCTTGATAAAAACCTTTATGCGACAGGTGCTAATATAGCCCTCTGGTAGCTAGTGGGGAAATTGAGGCTCAGGGCAGTCCAAAACATCAGTTAATAAGGGCCAGCGCCAGGGCTCAAACACAGACTGGCCTTCCAAACTGAAGTGAAAGCCTGAGCTGCATCCAAAAGTTACTTGCTTAATTTTATCTACATGAACAAAAAATTTAGATTCAGCCTTTCACTTTGAAAATAAATGGTCTTTAATTCCATGATTATTGATGTCATGTCTGCTGTGAGAAGAAGGCTGAGTGGGGGAGACATCAGCACCTAGTATGAAGAGCCAGATACTGACATTTGGGGGACCGGGCAGGTGGGGGATGCGTAGACTTTGGAACTGGGCAGATCAAGGTTTGGGAATCTGGATACTCTTGAGCAACTAACTAGCTCTTTGGAATTTTCTCAATAAATCAGGGATAATAATAGTCAGCTTTATAATGTTGTTGAAAGGACTTAGTGAGATGATCTTGTTCAAGTACCTAGGATGTTAAAAGGCTCAAAATGTTTTTGTTTTTTTTTTCACAGCTACTTATTGATGACTTAGGACATATGTATTTGGATCCGTGCCCCATGCTGGAGTAGTGTCAAGAGAGAGAGATGAGTCCTGTTCTCCAAGGGCTCAGTGTCTGGGGAAGCAGGAGACAGCATTTATAAGACTAAATAAACCATGTAGAGAGGGGGGTGGGGTAAGCATAGGGGCTAGGGACCGGGTAACACACTGGAGGTCAAGCCCTCCAACTTAAGGGGTGTCCAAGAAGGCTCCCCAGAAAAAAGTGAGATCAAACTAAAGCCTAAACTACGAGGAGCTGTCAGGTGAAGAGAGGGAAGATTCCAGGCTGTGGGAATGTTCGAAAGCTTGCAGACACAGGAGGGTCAAGGATATCCCAGGAGGAACCAGCAGTCCCTTAGGAGTGCCCAAAAGAGGAAAAGGCCAAAAGCTGAGACTAGAGGGGAGAGCAGAGGTCAGGATCCGGATGAATCTTGAAACCATATTTATTGATCTGAACTTGACCTTTGGCCCATGAGCGTGCCCTGATTGAAAGCCCCATGAAGCCCAGCATAGTTCCAGGCAAGGCATGAATGCAGGAGACAAGGCTGTACTTGGGGTGATTTTGAAAGACCCTCCACCCTCAAGTCTCAGTTCCCCTCATCTACAAAACCATCCTCAATACAGTTTCCCGAATGTAAACTAGCTATGGTTGACTCTTACACTCCTGTAGAGGTACCAACCCCAGATAAATGAAAATCTGGTCAAAATACCTTTTGAACCACAACCACCCATTGGCATTCTTGGGGAATTGGATTCAGGACCCACCTCGATTTCCTGGATACCCAAACCCGAGGACCCTCAAGTACGTTAGAGTAGCCCTTGATTTCTCTCTGCTCTGCATGGATTTAGCCACCAGTGTCTGCTATTTAGCCACTGTTAGCTGAATCTGTGATTGCAAAACCATGGATAGAAAAAGTCTGAGTGTAAGTGGGCCTGCTTGCCCAGCTTAGCCTGCCATTCAAGGGTGGGCTGTCCATGTTACTTTGACCACATACACATTCACTTCTACTTTAAAAAACTTTTGATACCAGGAAACATTAATATGATCTTAAATGGAAAATTACTACTACTTGTCCTAAATAAAAGACACCTGTAAAATACCTATGAATAAAAGAGTATATTTAATTCCAGTGACCGTTACCTACATAGGACCCTGAGCCCAGGCCCACTGTCCCTTTTCAGGAGGTTGTAAAGTGCTGAGAGACATAAGCCCCAGCCCAAGCCTCCCCCACAGTGTTTTTGGGCATTGGAATGGTAAAAGGCTGAAAGAGGGTTCTGAGATCACTAGAGGCAAAGAGAGGGAGATCGGTGTTAGCCAGAGACCCCAGACCAGCAGGCAGCCCAGTGCTAACACAATTCTCCAACCCTTGCAGAGGATTTCAGTCTCCTTGTCTGGAGTGCGCTGAGGTGAAGAAGTCCGGTTTTGTCCCATCCACAGCCCGGAGCTCCCCGAGAGAATGCTCCCGCAGCTCCTCCTATGCCAGCACCCATTCCTCCAGTCACTCCTCCCGATCCCCACATCTCAGAGCCTCCCCCAGGTACACTCGAAGTCGATCCACCTCCTCTGGAAAAAGGTGAGTGCAGTTTTGACCTTTGTCTGCAGCATTTTGCTTCTGAGAGAGGCAGTTAAGATAACTGTTGGTCAGGTTCTTTGACCTGGAGGAGGCAGGAATCAGACTTGTACCCATTACTGGCTGGTAACTGAATTTCAATTAACCTTTCTTGGTTTCAGTTTCCTTATCTGCAAAATAAAAACAATAACAATATTTACCCTATGGGGTTGTGGCGAGAACTATAAAGCACTTCAGATTATTATTTGGAAAATAATGAATATCAGTTATTATTATTGTTATTGGCAAGACATATGTATCAATAGTGAGCTTCTGCTGCATTAAAAAATATATCCTTTTTAAACAATTAGTTTTCACTTTGTGCCTGATTCTATGGATCAGCAGTTTGAGTTGGGCTCAGCTGAGTGGTTCTTCTGCTGCCTCGTGGACTGATGCATGTTTTCCATTGGCTAGTGGGTCAGCTGGGAGCTGGCTGGGATGGATGAACTCAGCTGACTGATCTGTGCTCCATATGGTCTCTCATCTTCTGGCAGGCTTGTATGGGCTTCTTCATATGGTGATGGCAGGCTTCAAAAAAAACAACCATAGTACAGGTGGCCTCCTGAGGCCTAAACTTGGAATAGACATGGCCTGCCATTCTATTAGCTACAGTCAAGTCAGAAGACCATTCAGATATCAGCAACTATTCTCTGAATGAGAGGTGCTGCAAAATCACATTGCAAGGGATGTTGCTATAGGAAGAATTGTTCCCACTTTTGCAGAAAACTGCATTCAACTCCAATAACCATGGGGAATCACTTGGTTTTATTTCTTATGGAATAATAATGCAGCAGAATGCACACATGAGATTTACCTCAAGAACTGGAAGACTCCATCCAGTTAATCAGTCTGTATCTTCACAGAGTCCAGCTTCCCTTTACAACTAGAATTTCCAATAATAATACAACTATTTCTCTGTTGCAATCATATAATTTAAAAAAAATAAAAATGCTGTTTAGTTGGTTATTTCAAGACTAGTTCATTCAAAAAAAAATGAAGACAAGGTAGTTGACAAAAATGTTCAACAAGATAGAATGACATAAATAGAAGAATAAGGTAGGCTAAAAGGAAAATTAAATAAAGAAAGCGTTTAAATCCCAAAGGCATGGCCTACCATTCCATGCAGTTGCTGTAGAGATGGTCTACAAATGTGACTCTGGGCTCCCTGGCAGAAAAAGCAAAAAGGGAAATGTTTATTATTATTTTTATTAAGCAAAAAGATAAAAATGAACTAGTTGCCTAGAAAGAGTTATTGCTGAGTTTGAGTCTTAAGAAAAATGACTCAAATTGTACCACAGAAAAGGGATGTCATGTGGTATAGTGGATGGAAATGTGTGAAATCCTTTCAATATGTCTGAGAGTATGTTTCCTCTTTTTGTTTCTTAACAAAATCTGGGTTGGCTTAAATGTTTGCTAGGTCTGTTTACATGTTTGATTTGGGGATAAATTTGAATTTTATAAACTTGTTTAGTGCCACGAATTACCTTGATTCTTCTTTTCTGTGGGGGAATATTTACTGAAATATTATCCTGCTAAACTTGGTACCTACAACTCCTTCATTCACTCATTCAACAAGTACTTATTGAGTTCCTACTATATGCCAAGAGCTATATTCTTGGCATATTGGAAATATAACATAAAGCAATGTTAATCAGTGTGTTTAGGGTAATCACAGTCCAGCTTTGCAATTTTATGCTTGAATGCCTAGAACTAAGCCTCTTTTAGTAAAATTTTTAACAAAAACATGTACATTATTGATTTCCCCCACTAAACTTGAGAGTTCTTGGGAGCAGAAACATGTACTAGTCCGCTTAATTCCTGAAAGTCTGTTACAGTGCCAGGTATACAGTAGGCACCCAGTAAATATAGATGACATCTTCTCATTTTAGACCCAGCCAATTCTAAATATCCTGATAATGTCAGATAAAAGATAAAGACGAAAATCAATAGTGTTTTTCCTGGTTACATCTAGAGAGGGTCAAAGAGCTTGGGAACAAATTGAAAATTGTCACGATCACCCTGAAATAAATTAAGATGTGAAGTGGGCCGGAGTATCACTTGGCCTAGAATCTTATATTTCTAAGAGTTATTTGATTCTTCATAAAACTGGATCTATAAAGACATGCTTGTAGATATGTTATGTGACTGCAAGGACTAGACAGTTGTCTGTTGTGTCTCTAGTGGACAGATTTAATCAGAAGTCCGAATTCCCAAATCTTTGTCCAACCATTTGGACAAAACCCAGGCTCCTTCAATGAAAGGAGCAACATCCACCCAATCAATAGCTATTTGCTGAGCACTTACCATGTTCTAAAGCATGAATTGAATTCTGCATTAGATACTTGGCACTGTGCTCAGTACTTTGTACAATTCCAGTAGAAACTTTCCTTGTATTGAACAGCTCCAGAGCACCTGCAACACAGGGCTCAGAAAGAAATAGGCAAGCAACCTTTCTGATCCTTTCTTATGTCTCTCAATGCGTAGCCAAGAACAAGTTGGCAAGAACAAACTCTCCGGGGGCCATAACTGGACACTGGCCAAAGACACTGAGCTATCCCTTGTCCACACTCCTTCTGTCACTTTGGGCAGCAAATAAGAATGGAGTCTCAGAGCCATATTTAAGGGCTGTGGTTATTTTGATCACCCCAGAAAGCAGGGAGGTACTAAGGAATATCTAGGTGAGAACATGTCATAACAAGTCTCCTTTTCAAGTTAAAAAGGATAAATAGGAAAACATGAATGTTTTCATGAGGGAAATCTAAAAAAAACAAGAGTATGACAGAATATTTCCACCACCAAAACATGAATGTTTTCATGAGGGAAAACTAAAAAAAAACAGTTTGAGAGAATATTCCCACCACCCCTTCCTGTACCATAACAGACATTACTAATCCACACCGCATTTCTTCCCACTGAACACAAACATGGCCATATAATTCTCCTCCAGCCTAGGAGGTCATAATCAGCATATAAGAGATGGAAATTACTTGAAATTCTGACTTTACAGAGATTGAAAATAAAAGGGCAGATGTTCCTGGAAAACGGCTGGCAAAACCAAGGCAGTAGTTCTCTGAAAGTGGGAGGCATTGGCAGAGGAGACTGGAGATAGCCTTAAGTTAGTGCTGTGGGCACACAAAGTGCTATATACATAAGATATCCTTGCAGAAGTCAGAACTGTGCACCAAACAGAACTGGGCTGAAGTTGCTTCAGCGCTAAAGAAAAACCCTGATCAGCTGAGTAACCTTGAATAAATCACATTACCTCTTGGTTTCTGGTTCTCCACTATAGAATAACTACCTAATCTCAGAGTGTGTTGAGAATTTAAATGAGATGATATACACAGAGCATTCGTTCCATATGTGGCACACAGTAAAATACATAATAATCATAGCTAACATTTCTGGTGTGCCAATATACTAAGTGATTTACTGACTTACTCATTTAATGTATAAGGTAACTTTATAGGGTAACTACTGTTATTATTCCCATTTTACAGATGAGAAAACAGAGACCCAGATGAGTTAAATCAACTGCACAAGTTGGCAGTTAATAAGTGCCTGGGATAGTAGGATTCAGAACGTTGTAGAAATGCTTGTTAACCATCCAAAAGGGAGATTTCATTTTCCTGCTAGGGTCTGGATCTCTGTGCTCCAGAAAGAAAAATATTGCTCCTTGGCCGAATAAAGTTCAGCCCAGCTGAATTACACGCGTGCCCGGGACAACCCAAGGGGAGCTCAGCAGGCTCCTCAGGGTCTAATTCTTCTCCAGGTCTTACTCCCGCTCTCCCAGCTATTCCTCCAAATCTGGCAAGAGGAGCCCGCCTAGCAGAAGCTCGCGATCTCGCCGCAGCCCCAGCTACTCGCGCTACAGCCCCAGCAGGTACGGACCCCGCCCCGATAGACCAGCCCCCTGGGTCCCACTCAGCCGGGATCCACCCCTTTGGCCCCACCTCCAGAGTGACACCTTCTTGGCACTCAGGAATGGCAAAGAGGCTCCCAAACACCTGGAATGCTAAGAGTCCTAAAGTCCCCCCTAAGCACTCCTGTAGCCACACCCAGAATCCATTTACCGCCTTCAGCCTCTTCACTAGCCCTCGTTCCTGTATTCAGAGTACCCCATCCTTACTCCCATGCCGGGGCCCTCTTAACATTTCAACGTCCAGCCCTGCAACACCTTAGGTAGTGCCTGCCCTGGAAGGTAGGCCCCCTGAACACGCCCGTCGCCATTCTCGCTATACTCACCCCGGCAGACTCTTCCCCATGGCCCGATCACGTCCCCTCCTGCTCCCTGAAGCCCAGTGCCGACCCACAGCCCGTCCAAGTGGGGTGAAGGGCAGGAGTTAGCAAAGGAAATGAGTGTCCCTGTCCCACACGCGCATGTAGAAAAAAGCCGGCCAGTATCAGCGCCCCAGTAACTCCCGCACCCCTTCAGGGAGCGAGACCCTAAGTACAGCGAGAAGGACTCGCAGCAGCGGGAGCGCGAACGAGCGCGTCGGAGACGTCGGTCCTATTCTCCCATGAGGAAGCGCCGGAGAGACTCCCCCAGCCACCTGGAGGCGCGGAGGATCACCAGGTGACGCCAGCTGGGTCGGGGTACCTGCCTTCATCCTCACTCCCGTCCTCTAGCCCCCCCATTGGAGCTCTCCCGGTGCCTCGCTGGGGCGTGTTTTCTGCAGAGCTCAGCACTCCCGGCCCCCGCCCCATCCCCTCCTAAAGTTTCTTTTCTTTCAAAGTCTGGGAGGGCAGTCGTCGCCCCGCACAGGGGCGGGGCCTACGGAGGAGTGGGCGTGGCTATGCTTGGTGGGCGGGGCAGTCCTCGGGACTGGGTGTGGCCGAGAGGTAAAGGTCAGGGGTGTGGCCTGACTGAGGATGGACTGGAGGTGGCCCTGGGCTTGAGAGTGAGATGGCCAGAGAGTGAGGCCAAGGCAGTGGGCAGGGCCGCTACCCGGGGCTGATGGCTTGCTGGCCCGGAGACAGACCGCCACCTGCAGACCCCCGCGCTGGGATACTGCGCTGAAACAGTGATGTAATTAGAAGCAGCCAAGTGTGAAGTGGGCAAGCCCGATTGATTAGGTGCCAGGGAAGCCACTGCGGGGGAAGACTGAGATAGTCTCGGGCAGGGGCATATCCCCAGGTTCTCTGGTTTCCTTAGTCAACCCCAAAGAATCCATCTTGATGAAACCAGCCATGGTTCTCACAGCGCAGTCACACACCTCTTCTGCCTTGCCTGCTTGGAAGCGTAATTCACGCATTTCCTGCCGAGCCCGTTGATAGGCCACTGCCAGTGGAAAATCTGCCACTCTTCCATCAAAAGGAGGTTCTAGTAAAAGTAAAAACAGCAAAACAAACCCTCAAGTAAAATTTAGGTGCTGATTTTGTTGCCCACGGGAGATGCTGAACCCCAAGTTTGCTTAGTCAAGGGAGAGCGCGTTCCAAGTCACAGCAGAGATAAACTGAGCCTTCTCCATGCCCTGGGGACTGGCAGAGAAGGGTAAAGGGAGAGTTTTCGCTCAGGGACAGGGAGATGGGAGGATGCTACTTTCTGGGGTAGGGAGGCAGGTGGGGGAAGACTGCGCCCTGGTTTGAGGCTGGGCGGGCCTGGACCTCACGCACTCCCCCACCCCCCCACCCCCGCAGTGCCCGGAAACGCCCCATCCCCTACTACCGGCCCAGCCCCTCTTCCTCCAGCGGCCTCAGCACCTCCTCCTGGTACAGCAGCAGCAGCAGCCGCTCAGCCAGCCGCAGCTACTCGCGGAGCCGCAGCCTCAGCCGCAGCCGCAGCCGCAGCCGCAGCCGCAGCCGCAGCCGGAGCAGGACCCGCTCGAACAGCAGCACCAGCTCGCGCAGCCCCAGCCTGGGCTCCCGGAGCCGGAGCCCGAGCTACAGCTCCGCAGACAGCTACTCAAGCACGAGGCGCTAAGCAGGGGCCTCCCTGAGCCAGTGTCCACAGGGGCCCCTTTTACTTTGCCAGCCTCCCCCGCGCCCTGCCCACCCTGCCTTCTCCCTGGTGATGACGTTGAGGCTACCTGGACCCTGTCCTTCCTTCCTGCTCTCCTGGGGAGGAAGAAAAGAGGGTTTGGGCGGGTGTGGGGCTTTGGCCTGGGTGTGGAGAGGAGAGCAGCCTCTGCCTGGCAGCCTCTGGGGCTCTGCTCAGGTCTGGGCATATGGAGAGAAGCACCCTCTGTTGGCACAAAAAGAAGAACTCAAGGTTTCCTGGGGAGCATTGGGCCCAGGACTCAAAATTTGGATCCTGGCCAGGAACAGGTAGACATTTCCGCTGGCCCCCTGCTCACAGGAGGCCCCTGCCTGCCAGCTGTAGTGGCCCCACGGCCTTCCTCCCAGGTTCAAGCTCATGCTGCAAGTTCACGGACCCCCAAGAGGGCTGGGGCTGCTAAGAGGAGAGGCAGGAAAGGGTAATTCAGGCTCAGGAGAGAAGGTAGGAGCTCTCGCCTCTCCGAACAGGCCAGAGTTCAGACTGGGAGACCTGGGTGCGCGCAGAGGGCACTCGAGTAAGTAGGGGGCATGGCCATCTCAGTTGGCTCTCTGGTCATTAAAGGAAGGGGTCAGTCCCTGTGCTGGGTAGCCCAGCATGGTCAGAAACAGCTGCCCAGTGGCCAGCGATAGAGGGGCCACCTCACGGCTGACACAAACGGGCTCTTGGCTGTGCCCAGCGACCCCGTGACCTCACTGAAAGGACACAGTGGCCGTTGGGACAGCTTGGTGTCCAGCCCACTTCCCAAATTTGCCTCAGCCCCACTGGCTGGCACCCACTGATTGCACGGGACCATCTGCTGAACAGTCCCCAGCGCCATGGCCGGCTGCCAGTCCCCAGCGCCAGGCAGTCTGGTCTGATTCTCCAGTTGGCGCCTGCCTGCCCCCTCCCCACGCCAGGACTGCCACAGCCTGGATCCGGCCCACTGCAGCCAGGCCCCCACCCACCTCCTCAGCCTAAGCCACCCCCTTTGCCTCTCAGGAATTTTGCCAAGTTGGGGCACAGCAGCTCAGGTTTGGGGAGAAAGATCCAAACCCAGAGAGTCTTGGGGAGAGAGTGGGGTTTGGGGCTTCATAGCTTGGGCTCCCACTGGCTGCTGAGGTAGCTCATCAGCTTGGGAAAGCCCCACCTTCATCTGTGCCCTCACCCCACCTTTTCCCTGCCTGGAGCTGGGCTGAGAGGGTAAACTGATCTCTGCCACACAAATGCCACCAGCTGCTTCATCCACGGGAGGCGCTGAGAACAGGGCCATGGGGGAGAAGAGCCTTAAAATAAATCTTGGGCATCCCCCTCACCAGCTGACCAGCTTTCCGGAACCTGTGGGTGAGTTTCAAGTTTGTGGTGGCAACAGCAGTAGCTGTGCAGGGCCTGAAGGGGGAGGGGTGCCTGAGGGGACACGCCCAGCTGGGAATTCTGGGGCAGTGGGGAAGCAGGGGCCCTAGTCTAATCCCTCGAAATGCAGGGAAAATATTTGGAACAAGCCCCCTTCCCCTCCCCACCGTTCTCATCACATCATCCTGTGGATGAGAAACTGCCCTGCAAGCACCCCAAAAGTCCTTTCACCAGGAGAGCAGCAGGCCCGACCCCCTGAATGATGGACGTCAGGGCTGTCACCACGGGCAGGTGCCCGGGGGGGGGCCTGTACAGCAACTGTAAATAACCCCCTTCCCCGCCCGGGAACCCCAACTGGACTTGTTGGCCTTCACAGAGACAAAGGCTGCCCAAGCCACAGAACCTCCTTAGCAGAACAGCAGGGGGGTGCGTCCAGGAGTCCCCTTCAGACTGCCTTCACTCAAGCAACTCTAGGGGCCATTTTGCCTGGGGCTCCTAGCAAACCTTTTATTTATTTAATTTATTTATTTATGTTTATTTATTTATGTGATGATTCTCTCACTCATTAGCAGTATTCGACTATTTATTTATATGGAGAGGGTGTGTGTGTGTGTGTGTGTGTGTGTGTGTGTGTGTGTGTTGAGGGGCACCTACATTATTTTTGCCTATCTCTGTGTTTTCCTCGTTTCTCCACAGATGGGACTTGAGGTGTGCATTGGGGTGTGCATTGGGGGGGAGCGGCGGAGGGGACCTCAGTGTTTTCCCTGAAGATGAGACCTGGTTTGTTCTGAAGCCTGAACTGGCTGGCGGGGGCCTGAAGTTCCATTATCCAGCACCAGGTCCATGAGGCCTGTACCCCAGCCCTTTACAAACCTCCCACCGCCCTGCCTCATTAGGTATCACGAAGATGAGAAGGTCCCAGAGCCCCTGAGCTAAGCCACTTGAGTTCACACCACAGAGTCACAGCTTAGTGGGGGCTGGAGTCTCAAGTTAGCGCCAGAGGAAAAGCCCACAGACCCGAGATTGCCTGTGAAAGTCCTTTAGGGAGGTGGCCACTTGGAGACAGGTCAGTTATCACCTGGTGGACTGATGAGGCATCCATTAGTACTAACTGAAGTAGCTTGCCTTGCATTCAGGGCCATGTGGCTGGAAATAATGTCACGTTAACAGGGGGCCACACTCAGAGCAGAGACGCAGCAGAGAGGAGAGGAAAGAGGCCTCGGCCCCATCCTTGTCCAGGCCTTGCAGGACTGGCGGATCGCTCGCTAACTGTTACCCGCCTTGGCTCCCCTGGAGCCTGGAGCCTGCTGCCCTGCTAGAAGCTATCAGCCCCCCACCCCGGGGTAGACACGCAAGCCCACAGCGGCGGGCCGTAAGTTCCAGCAGGGAGGGCACCCAACTCTGCAGTTATGGGAAAGCAAAGCCAAGATGCAAAGGACCCTTGCCCCAAGAAGCCATTTTGGAGGCCATCCTGGGAACCAGGATCCAGAGGCCTTCAGCTGGGCAGCCAGCTGGCAGGGTCTCCTGGCGGCTGGCCAGAGAGGGCTGCTGCCCTTTCCCAAGCCACTGTCCTCTGCCTGGAAGCTACCAGCTTGCATGGTCCGGCTTTGGGTTTGGCGAGAGAATTCTGAGGCAGCTGTTTCCCTGGCAATGTGATCTAACCCTGCCCAGGCCCCAGCAAGGGCACACCCCTCATGGAGGCAGGTGTGGGGATGCTTCCATGCCACCTGGGGAGACACCTCTGGTCTTCCCCCTCACTTGGGGCAGGTCTCTAATTTCCTTTATTTCTGTCCAAATATAAACACTCTTTCTGGGGCACTGGTATCCTTGCCTACCCAGAATCCCTCGCTTGACTGCTCTTAGCCAATTTCATCCTCATTAGCTTCTGCTTCCAGGAAGTCACATCACCTGAAACCTGTTTGTGGTGGGAGTTTACCTGAAATAATCAGCATACCAAAATGGGGGGGGGGGGAGTATGGTTTGAGGTCAGATGACATAGTCCAGACCTCTGTGATCGATGGTTCCCGATGATTGCACCAGGGAGAAAGCTCCTCCCTTACTCTGAGGCAAAGTTCCCACTATAGGGGCTTTTTGAGATGCGGTAAAAAATGTTGACCAAAGGGCTAGGAGATTCTCTGCAGACAGAGTTCATGAAGATCTAGAAAAGCAAAACACTGCATGTGCAGCTGTCCTCTGTCAGGAGAGTCATAAGGAAAAGCCATGTGTGAATTCCCTTCTGACCCCTGGAAAAGCTGTCCAGAGCTCGGCCCCACCCAAGAACATCCATTTTGACAGCATTTCTGCCTATTTCTTCCCTTTTTAGAAGGAAAGTCAGTCTTTCCAAAGCAAAACAAAATTGAAGTGTTTGAAAGACACAAGGTGTCAGTCTCCGAAAGACCCTGTCCTCGTCCCCAAAGGCTTTGCCCGAAGTGGTCAAAAGTCAGGATGCTTCCAAAGATTCAAAAGCCCATTTTTTCTTCTTCTCGGTGCTCCCTTCCCTCTTTTCCTCCTGCTGCTTTTCTGCAACTGCCCCACCCTGAGACCCTCACCTCACAGATTAGCCAAGGACAGGGGCACCGCCCCCCCCAGCCCCCAGCCTGGCACTGCCTCTCCTCCTGTGCCCCGGGGCTCTTTGGAGTCTTTCTGTTTGCTTCTCCAGGGTTTTGTTTCCATAAATGTTTTACATTGTAAATACCACAATGAGGCCCCTCACCAGAACATGGCTCATGGGATCATTGCTTTCCTATTTATTGGGCGGTACTGGGACAGGAGTGGGACTGACCCTTGCCCGGAATTGCGTTGAGAAAACCTGTGTGCTGCTAGTCTCCTGCGGCTGTCTGCAGTGGGGGGCACTCGCCCAGGTGAATGCTGGGCCAGTGCTAGAATCACCCAGCAAATTGGAATTGGCAGAAACGGAGGCTTCAGTCATACAAATTAAGCTCAAATGGAACTAAAACACTGGTTAACTCCGGGAAAACCTCATTTAGATGGAAATTAATTGAGGAATAAAATGCCTGCACACGAACCAACTTCTATTAAACAGTCACAACTCCTTGAAAAAGAGAGAGATGTAATCCCTTTTCTCTGGCCAAGAAAACTATGTCTCATCTTCTAACGAGTTGAGGCAGCGTCTGCAATGGCATTCCTTGCTGGTTCTCTTGACTGTGTGTGTCTGCATGAAATGGAATGAGCCCAGGCCTCAGTCTTATCATCTGTACAATGGGGCTTGGCCTAAGTGTCCCTGGCCCGGTGGAGGGAGGAGAGTCTGACTGATGCTGTGAACTCCAAACTGTCGCCTGTGTGGTCCCTTGAGTCTCATGCTGACTGTAGGCTGCAGGGTGTCTCCCAAGGAAGGAAATAAAGCAGGGCGTGCTTTTCCTACGGAGGGTGAGCCCTAGAGTCAGATGGGGGAGACAGCCCAGTGCTGCCAGCCTGACGCTTGTGACTGGGTTAAAACCCTTTCTACTGAAACTTGAACTTCTCTCCACGTAGCCACCCACACCACCGAAGGAGACGCCCAGATGGCTTAGCTGTGCCCTGGATTTCACCACGTGCGTGGTGCCAGGCCATGTTTTATACAGTTGCTCCAGAAAGCCAGTGACATAGGGCATGGTGCCATTTCAAAGATGAGAAAACTGAGGCCTGGAAAGGCGGATCTGACTGTGCCAGCTCCCTGCTCTCAGGTCTGCCCGACTCCAAACTGACACATTCTCACGGCGCTTCCTTGCCAGCCTGTGCTGTGAGTCTGTCCTTT